TACTGCTTTGTATATATTTCTATTTATGCTATGTGTGTTTATGTATGGACTTATCCCCCTACTCTCCCTTTAGAACATTAGCTCTTTGCAAGTAGGAATTGTTTCACTCTTTGTATTTCTATCCCCAGCTCTAGCATAGTGCCTGGCACATAGCAGCTGCGGAATAAATCCTTGATTGATTGATGGGTTGTAAGACAATCTGTCTGCTTCCCAGAATGCCTGCTTCCAACTGAACACATGTGTGAAGCAGCATTTGGACATGCTGGAAATGATGAACTCCTTGGCTGTTTCTGGCTATGTGGTAACCCAATGCTGAAAGGACCTGGCATTTTGGCATGACACAGCAAGCCCTGAGTGACCTCTTGCTCTCTTACTGTCCCAAGACAGCTGATATCAGTTAAAAAAGAAGAGATCATTTCTGATTTGCCCTTTTCCTTCAGCTCTCTTGTGTGGAAAGCAGTGAAGTCTGTCTCTGTGTTCCCCATAATGGGAGTCTGGGGGGAGTTGTGGAAGAAAGAGGCTCAAAGTGCAGGATGGACTCAACTAAGTGAACTTTGACTGACTCCCTGGCTTCCTTGTCCACTTTGTATTTCCTTTCCTGAGGAGGGGAGCAAACATTGTTCCCTATGTTTATCTCCTCGTGAGTTTGAAATGTTCAAAGGTCTCCAGGTCCAGTGAGTGGAGCAGACTAGCATTGAGGGCAGCTTCGAATCAGAGAAGTAAACTGCTGACAAGAGGAGAAGCCCAAACCCTGGGACTGTTTTGCTAGAAGACATGGACTTTGAAGAGTCAATGTGAAATGTAAAATACCTCATTGGCAGTCCTATGAACTGCTTCATGTTTAGATGGTTTTAAGTACTACCTCCCTGACCAGATAGAACAGTACTTAGCACTGCTACTAGTTTTGTTTAAATCAATGAATGCCTGTTAGAATCTTTTGTATTTTAGTATTATATTTGTGTATGGGAATAAAATATCTGTCCCATACCTGATTCATATTATATATTGAGTCTCTTTTTTTACTCCTTACTTTGGGAAGACCTGATGTCCCTTCATGGTATTATGCTGGGTAGTCAGAGCCCAAGGGTTCAAACAAATAGTCCTTTTGCTGAAAATATTTTCCAATATCCCCAGGTAGAAGCAGGTCTCAAGGCAGTTAAAATAGTTTAGGATGATATACAGTATTTGCTCTTGGCAAAGAGACAAAAAAAGCAGTCAGCAAGGAAGTTTCCTGGGATTGCAGGAGCAATTTTTGCCAATGTCTTAAAAACTGTTTTTATGTTCTTCTTGTCTAAAGGGCCCACAGCTTAGTCCCAGATCTATCTACCTGGGGACAAAATTAAACCCAACTGCCCCAGGACCATACCACTGGTTCTTTACTTCACAACAGTCCTAGCTGATGTTGTGGGGAAGTTAATTTAGACTTCCCTTATTTTCTCCACTAGCCCATGATACTTAGACATGAGACTGAAACCCTAAACTTTAAGTAATTTATTTTGGGCTGGGTTTTTTTTTTGGCGGGGAGAAGGAGAAGAGGAAAGGGAAAGGAGCCCTACCCCTCAAGAGTCTAGACCGTCCCAGGACTAAATCTAGTACTAACGTGCCCAGGCACACGTGCCCAGAGTGAAAGAGTCCCTTTGTGGAGAAGGAACAGGCACAAACCCCATTTCTTTTGGGCCCAGCAATGGGATCTCTCAATATTAGACCTACATATGACTTTTCAGCTCCCATGTCTGTCATGCCTGAAGTGTTCTTCTCACCTCGGCCATTTGAAATCTTTTATTCCTTTAGCTCTCCCTACACAAGGCCTTTCCTGATCCCTTCCTCCTCCAAGTTATTAGTGCTTTTTCCCTAAACCACTTCTACCCCCTTGAATTACTTTGTACAAATATTGTATTGATTTATCTATTGGATTGCTTCCTTTTGGTAGAATGTGAATCCCTGAAGGCAGGGACTGCTTCGTTTTTGTCTTTGTATCTCAAACACAATGCCAAGTATAGAGTAGGCACTGAAATGTTTATTGAATTAAATTGCTGCCCCTACCCCATGCATTGACCTCTCTATACATCTTCCCCTGAGCTCAACACTTGTGATTTTGCACTATAGCTTTCTGGGTATATGGTCCCTCCCCTTGATCCTGGATTCCATTAGAGCCATCTCTCAGTGTCCTGAACAGAAAAGGGTTGAGAACTATTGAAGAAATGAGATCAACAAATGTCCCCTCTATGTTTAGTTCCTTATGGTTGAAACCATTACACACCAACACTATGCTACCTGCTGTTTGCAGGCCTGCTTTGTAAAGTTCTAATTAAATGACTTTTCTTCTTCCTTGAAGAAAAAAGTTTGTTTCCATTTTAAACAAATTTGAGGAGACAGACAGAAAATTCTTAATAATAATAATAATGAAACAGCTAAAATTTATAGAACACTTACTGTTGTAAACAAATAGTGCTAGGCACTGTGCTAAGCTCTTTATGAATATTATCTAATTTGATAGCTATTATTATCCTCATTTTATAGTTGGGGAAACTGAGGCAGACAGTTGTTTAGTGACTTGCCCAATGTCACACAGCAAGTGCCGAAGGCTGCATTTGAACTCAGATTTTCTTGACTGGGGCCCAGCACTCTATCTACAGCATCATGAGGCTATTTCTTTTTAATCCTATTGTTTTCCTCTTCTCTCTACTGTGGTTGGCTTGGGAGATTCAGCATCTCTCCTCTCCTTTCTTAACATCCAGTCTACTCTCCTCCTCCTCTTCCTCTTCTTCCTCCTCTTCTTTTTCCTTCTCCTCTTCCCACTAATCAACAATACCTTTTTTTTTTTTAGGTTATACATGTACAATCATGTTAAACATATTTCCATATCAGTCAGATTGTGAAAGAAGAATCAGAGAGCAAAAGGAAAAAAACTAGAGAAAGAAAAAACAAAAAAAGTGAAAATAGTATGCTTCGATCTGCATTCAGACACCATAGTTCTTTCTCTGGATCAGAATAGCATTTCCATCTTGAGTCTTTTGGAATTGTCTTGGATTATTGTATTGCTGAGAAGAGCCAAGTCTATCATAGTTGATCATCGTACAATGTTGCTGTTACTGTTCTGGTTCTGCTCACTTCACGAAGCATTAGTCCATACAAGTCTTTCCAGGTTTTTCTGAAGTCCTCCTGCTCATCATTTGTTATAGCACAGTAGTATTCCACTACATTCATACACCACAACTTGTTCAGCCATTCCCCAATTAATGGGTATCCCCTCAATTTCCAATTCTTTGTTACAACAAAAAGAGCTGCCATAAATGTTTTTGTAAATGTGGGTCCTTTTCCTTTTTTTATAGTCTCTTTAGGACACAGACCTAGTAGTGGTATCGCTAGATCAAAGGGTATGCACAGTTTTATAGCCCTTTAGGCATAGTTCCTAATTGTTCTCCACCAACAATGCATTAGAACAACACCCAATTCTTTATTGTTTTAATGTTAACAAAATGTTTCCTTCCCAATAGCCCTGTGAAACAGTTTGTACCAGTAGGAAAATAGTATCGTATATTTAGATTTGAGCTGAAAGGGACCTTAGAGGCCATCTAGTTCAGTCATTTTATTTTGCAGATAAGGAAACTGAGGCCTGAATGGTGAAGTGACTTATCTGAAGTCATACAAGTATTTTGAATACATGTTGTCTACCTCCCCACCCCCATGTAAATTCTTTGACGTCAGGGCTGTGTTGTATTTTTGCCTGAATTTCTAGGTCCAAGTACAGTGCTCAGCACATAATAGGCACTTAATAAATGCTCGTGCTTACTATTTGATTTCTAGGAAGTGGCTCAGGTAAGATTTGAACCCAGATCCTCTCTGCTGCACCACACTATCTATTGTTCTCATTTTACAGATAAACTAAGGGACAATAAGGTCAGGAAGGCAGGATGGTAGAGCAGAAAGAGGCCAGAATCAGGAGTCAGAGGACCTGGGTTCAAATCCCAGCTCTGCCACTCACTACCTGCCTCTGTAACATTGAATAAGTCACTTCAGTCTACGAGCCTCATTTCTTTCTTCTGTAAAATGAAGGATGTGTACTAAATGACTTCTAAGCTCTCTCCCAGTTCTAAATGTTATAATCTTTGCCTGTAGAATGAGAATCCAGATCTTCTGAATTCAAGACCTCTTTCTCCTACTACACAATGATTAGTCAGCACTGGGAACTTTCCTGTTCCTCCCCATTCTACTTTCCCTGGGACCCTCCCCGCCCCCCAACCCCCTCCTTCGTCTCTCTCTAGCCAAGTGTTTGAACCAGATTCAGAAACCATGGTAGAATTCCCTCTGCCCTACAAAATAGGTCTCTTGGAACAAAGTGAATTGATTCCTGGGAGAAAAGGAAACACCAGAGGATGTGGGTGCCACCTGGATTGGATCTTGCCTTTTAGAAGGACTCCCCTGCTGGCTGCAGGCTGGTTTCCCAATTGCTTTTTCAAGAAAAACTCAAAATTCACCTTAGCCTCATGGTAGGTAATAAACATTACTCCCAAAGATTAGCAGAGGGCCTGATGCTCATGTTACATACAGGATCATTTTGGAAAGTTTGAGTAAAAGGCCTCCAGTCATTTAAAAAGTGCATTGAAAATTTAAAAATGAAAAGAAGGGAGAGGGCCTGATTTTTTTAAGGGGCAGAAAATATGTGTTTTTTCGTACTCACATACCTACAAAAAGACTGAGTGGATAATGTTCAAAGCCACCTTTCTCTTTCACTCAAATTCACCTCTGAGCCCAAACTGGGATCCAAAGGAAATATTTGGATAAAGCACAAGCTACAGAAGGTGAGTGTATTTCTTTGATTAACCAAATTGAGTGCAAACAAATTATGCTGGCTCTGGGCTTTTCCATGAAATGTAGAAGGATCTGGGAACTGAGCAACTGGAAAGAGCTCCATGACTGGCTCTCCCACCCATCTAATGGCCTCTGAGGGCCCTGGGCCCTGTTGACTTCTCTTTGGTCCATTCCATACTCATGCTTACCTGGCACATCTGTTGGCTTGTGGGAGTAGGTCCCTATTCTTGGGAATAAGCTGTCCATCTATGTTGACCAGGAGTCATTTCTGGCAGGGTGTGGCAGGAATCATTGGAGTTCCTGGTCTTTCCACGTGTCCCATCGCTACTCAAAGGAGGGTTGAAGATTCTGTTAGACCTACAAGGGGTGATCAAGGAACAGAGCTGTGGTTCATCCCACCTTTCACTACTGGACCGGGCTTAGGTTTAGTCAGAGTAGGAAACTGCCTAGATATTTGATTTCATTCATGTTGGAAAAGCCCTTTGCCCCCCTAAATATCTCTCCCAAAATACCTCCCTCCCCTGCCCTCAAAATCTCTCTCCTACTGGTCCCCAAATACTTTGTGCAACTGGTTAAAAAATACTATCCTGGGAAGGTGGAGCCAAGATGGTGGGGTAAAAGCAGTGACTTGCTTGAGCTCTCCCCAAAACCCCTCCAAATACCTATGAAAAATGGCACTAAACAAATTCTAAGGCAGCAGAACCCGCAAAAAGACAGAGTGAACCAAATTTCCAGCCCAAGACAATCTGGATGATTGATGAGAAAGGTATATTGCACCAGGCTGGAAGAGGAGTACAGTGTGGCATGGGTGCGCAGGCCGCAGTGAATCTGGAGCAGGCCTCAGAGGACTGAATCATGGACAGCTGTGGTGGCTTCCAGATTTCTCAACCCAGGAACGCCAAAGACAGCTTAGAAGGTCAGTGGGGAAAGTCTGTTTCTGTGGTGAGAGGGGAGCTAGGTCAGAGCCAGTTCCAGAGCACAGAGTGCAGAGCATGGGTGTCCTGAGCTTCCAGCCCACACGCTGAGGGGCAATCCAGTGGCTGATCAGAGGGGTATTGCAGGGATCTCTTTGCTAGTGCTGAGGCAAGAATCTCTTGCTTTGCCCATGCTTGGATCTGGGTCACAGTTCTGGGCGGCGGTCCTGGGGCAAGGAGGAGTACTGGTGTGGTGGAGCTTGTAGTGGCATGGAGAGGAAACCTTCCTCACAGTTCTAGGACAGAAAGGAGTCCTTGTGGTCACTAATAGACCAGAGCACAGGCCAGGAAAGGAGTAAACACCTCACCCCTTATCATACCACCTTGCAAGAACTGAAAATTTACAGGTCCCTACAAGTATCTCTGAAAACAGCTGTATAAACCCCCAAAACCTGGGACAGTACATTCTCCACATTGGAAGCAGAATCTTACCTTAACAAAGAGTTTAAAACTCAAGTAATTGGCCTGGATCATGAGCAAGCAGTGCAAAAAGAGTCAGACTATATTATCTTACTTTGGTGACAAAGAAGATCAAAACATACAACCAGAAGGAGACAACAAAGTCAAAGCTCCTACATCCAAAGCCTCCAAGAAAAATATAGGATTTTGAGAAGCAAGTAAGAGAAATAGAGGAAAAACTGGGAAGAGAAATGAGAGTGATGTAAGAAAATCATGAAAAACAAGTCAACAGTTTGCTGAAGGAGACCCAAAAAAATACTGAAGAAAATAACACCTTAAAAAATAGCCTAACCCAAATGGCAAAAGAGGTCCAAAAAGCCAATGAGGAGAAGAATGCCCTAAAAAAAAATTGGCCAAATGGAAAAGGAAGTCCAAAAGATTACTGAAGAAAATACTTCCTTAAAAATTAGAATAGAGCAATTGGAAGCTAGTGACTTTATAAGAAATCAAGACACTGTAAAACAAATCCAAAGGAATGAAAAAATAGAAGACAATGTGAAATATCTCATTGGAAAAACAACTGACCTGGAAAATAGATTCAGGAGAGAGAATTTAAAAATTATTGAACTATCTGAAAGCCATAATCAAAAAAAGAGCCAAGCATCATCTTTCAAGAAATTATCAAGGAAAACTGCCCTGATATTTTAGAACCAGAAAATAGAAATTGAAAGAATTCACTGATCTCCTCCTGAAAGAGATCCCCAAAGGAAAACTCCTAGGAATATTATAGCCAAATTCCAGAGTTCCCAGGTCAAGGAGAAAATATTACAAGCTGCCAGAAAGAAACAATTCAAGTATGTGCAGAAACACAATCAGGATAACACAAGATTTAGCAGTTTCTACATTAATGCACCACAGGGCATGGAATATAATATTCCGGAGGGCAAAGGAGATAGGATTACAACCAAGAATCACCTACCCAGCAAAACTGAGTATAATTCTTCAGGGGGAAAAATGATCATTCAGTGAGACAGAGGACTTTCAAGCATTCTTGATGAAAAGACCAGAGCTGAATAGAAAATTTGACTTTCAAACACAAGACTCAAGTGGAACATGAAGAGGTAAACAGGAAATAGAAATCATAAGAGACTTATTAAGGCTGAACTGTTTACATTCCTGCATGGAAAGATAATATTTATAAGTCATGAGACCTTTGTCAGTATTAGGGTAGTTGGAGGGGGAAAATTATATGTATGTATATAGATATATAGATAGATAGATAGATAGATAGATAGATAGATAGATAGATAGATAGATAGGTAGGTAGGTAGAGGCTACAGGAGAGTTAAAGATTAAGGGGTCATACCTGGAGAATAAAATTAAGGGATGAGAGAGGATTATACTAGGAGAAGAAGAAAGGGAGAAGTAGAACAGAGTAAATTATCTCAAAAAATAACAGAAAAGAAAAGGCTTTTACATTGAAGGAGAAACGAGGGAAGGTGAGAGGGAATGAGTGAATCTTATTCTCATAGGATTTGGCTTAAGGAGGGAATAACATACACATTCAATTGGGTATGGAAATCTGTCTTACCCTACAGAAAAATGGGGGAGAAGGGGACAAGAGAGCAGGGGATGATAGAGAGGAGGGCAGATTGGGAAAGGGGTAATCAGAAGCAAATACTTCTGAGGAGGGACAGGGTCAAAAGAAAGAATAGAATAAATGGGGGGGCAGGATAGGATTAAGAGAAATAGAGTTAGTTTTTCACAACATGTATACTATGGAAGTGTTTTACATAACTGCGCATGTATAACCTATATTGAGTTGCTTGCCTTTTCAATGAGGGTGGGTGGGGAGGGAGGAAGGGAGAAAATTTGGAACCCAAAGTTTTAAAAATACACGTTTAAAAAAAAAGTTTTCACATGCAACTGGGAAATAAGAAATACAGGAAATGGGGTGCAGAAGTCTATCCTGCCCTACAGGAAAATAGAAGGGGAAGGGGATAAGAGAAGGGAGAGATAGAAGAGAGGGCAGATTAGAGGAAGGGGTATTCAGAATGCATGCCATCTTGGGGTGGGTGGAGGGGCAAGATGGGGTGAAAATTTGGAACTCAAAATCTTGTGAAAATAAATGTTGAAAACTAAAAATAAATTTATACTAAAAAAAAATACTATCCTACCTGCCAAAAATACTTTCCTATACTATCCCCAAATAAGTTCCCTATCTGCCTCCAAATCCTTCTAAATGACCCTCAGATACTTACCCAAACTGACCCTAAATATCTCCAACTACTTTCCAAATATGAACCCTAAATCACCCCACAAATACCTCTTATCTGTTCTCAAATATCTCACCAACTACTCAAAAAATTTCCCCCCAAAGATCCCAAAATTCCTCTTCCATTTGTCCTCAAATATTACAACCAATTCCCCTACTTCAACTACCCAAAGGGAAATTATCCTTCTGTCTCTCAATAACTCCTATCCTTGGATACCTCCCTTGGTCACATGAAAGTGTATTGTGGATCTAGAGCTAGAAGGGACCTCAGAAGCCATTCAGGCCAACCCTTTTATTTAACAGATGAGGAAACTGAGGTCCAAGAAGGTTAAGTGACTTGCTCCAAAGTCACACTGGTAAAAATCATCTGAAATGAGATTTGAATACAGATCTCTGACTCCAGAATCAATAGTTTTTCAATTGCACCTTTCTGTCTCTAATTGTTATCCTTCAAAATGTTTCCCTCCTCCCCAAATAACTTCTACAACAATCACAGAAGCTTGAAACATATTTACTATCAGAAAAGCCTTTCGTCCCATAGGAAGATAAGAGATCAGGCTTCCAACACAAATGTGCTTGGGAAATGGAATACCATGATATAAAGTCATTCCTTGAGAGGAGTAAGGGAACTGATCTGTGATTTCATTGGCTTGGGGGACAGCCAGAAGAAAACTCCCTGTACCAATGCAGATAGATCAGCAATTGTCCTGCAGCTTAAATTTTTAGTTGCCAGGGGCAGTGAAGGGTAAGGGAATTGTCAGGCTCATAAAGCCAGTATGTGTCAGAGGTGGACTGAACTCTGTTCTTCCTGACTGAAGCTGACTTTCTTATTCACTATGCAATACTGCTTCTACATTGAGGCATAAAAGTTTCATAACCTTTCTTTGTGTCATGGACCCTTCTGGCAGTCTGGTGAAACCTATGGACCACTTTCCAGAATAATGTTTTTAAATGCACAAAATAAAATACATAGGATTATAAAAGAAACCAATGATATTTAAATGAAGGTATAATTTTTCCCTATCCAAGTTCATGGATACCTTGACATAGAAGCTCAAAAAAAAAAAAAGCAAGAAAGGAGGGAAGGAAGGAAGGAAGGAAGGAAGGAAGGAAGGAATGTTGCATGGGCCCCAGGTTAAGACTTCCTGATGTAAAAGCTTGTTTTAATGAAAAATTGACTGAAACTAGTTATCCAGTTCAAACAATTTATCTCATAGGTGGATCTTCCAAAAGCATTCCCAACAAATAGTTAAACTGCCTGATGATGATAAATGACTGATATTAGACCCCTTGCAGAGAACAGGTTTTGGCAGAGGGTGAGTGTGACGGAGGGACCTGGAGAGAGCAAAAATGCACTGAGAAGGCAAGCTTGGGGCCTTTGTGTGGATACACCCTCCACACCTTAGCATCTTGGCAGATAGTCATCTTTAGTTGCTGTGGCAACCTAAGCATGTAGTATAATGGTCCTTTAGTGATGAGCCCCACCCTCCAAGCTGAGAGGTCAGTCCTTTCACATAGACAGCCCGTCATTTAGCTCATAGCCCTTCCAGCTCTGCAGGATGTGTCAGAGCTTGTACTCCCCTGCCACAGCTTGGGAGTACAAAGTGGACCACACATTTACCACACAAATTTCTCAAAACCATATTGCCCATATGAATTTAAGATCCAAAGCTATAGTATCTGCAAATACATGAATGTTCACCCTTTGG